TTGCATTAACGGTTTCAGAATTAACATTTCATACGTGTTGATCTTTGCCGAGGTCATAGAAAGTTTTGTATGCGAGCATCAACATTAATTTTGTTCTATTAGAATTTGAAGATTCTGCCAACCTGGGGCATGTTATTCCCTAGTGGTTTGTTCCGTGCAAATTTGACTTCGCCTAAAGAGTTGTTTTTGAAGATTCAGCCATAATACCATCAATTAGAGCCAGTTACGTCGAGATTCGGCGAATCTCTACAAGAGTTTGAAAACACGGGGCATTTGGACACCACGTTTCTATAAAAACCTCTTAGGACACATTCTTCTCATGACCATTTGACTTGGGGCATCTGAGAAGCGAGGACTATATTATTAATTTACAACGAACCATTGTTCAAATGGCGACTACCATTACATTTCCTCAACATTCAACATTTTTCATGTCCCGGTAAATTTTACTTTTTGGTGGCCATGACAATTCTTCGATGAAGCTTTTCGATACAAGTGGATATTATTGGTAATCCTCAGTGGATCTTCTCCAACTTCACCTTCCTAGTAAAGTGGACGTATTTTACTCCTCAATGGACCTTCTACAACGTCGATCTTCTCCAGCATGAGTCTCTCCAGTAAAGCGGATATTTATTTTATCCATGAAGTTTCTACAGTTATGAGTTTGATCCACCCCTAATGGATCTTTATCCTCGTCTTCAACATGATAATCTTTCAGACTTATCAAGAGGTTATATCCCCAAGTGGAATGATCTCCATTCCCCAAGAGAAGTTTTTTAAGCCTCGAAACAGGATGGTGATCCCATATTTCAGTTCTCCGCCTATCCCCAGTGACACTTCTATCTTTGAAGATTGGTCGGATGTTTGTTCCAGGATGTTTCATCTCCGGTTGCCTTTGTTCGTTTTTTCGTCAGCATAAGCATACGCATAACATATAGGTAGATGGCATGGCATATGCATTTTGCATCCTCGTGTTTGTTTGTTCTATCTCTTTGATCGTGGCTATCCCCGAGAGGCTAGGGTGTGTCTTATCCCTCAAAATAGAGTTGTCAGCCCTAGGCAGAAAGAGCACATTATTTCTATTTCCCCACATAGTTTGATTCTCGTGGAAGACGGTTATTTTAGTACATCCCATTTGAGCTCATGCCTCAATGGTCGAGTCTTGCTTGACAATTTCTCTTCACATATTTCCTGAATTGAACTCTGGTCCTTGGCAATCACAGTGTGGATAATCTCCAATTTTCAGACATGGATTAAGTGTGCATTTATTTTGCACTCTATTCCCCAGGAAGAATATTCATAAAGACAGACATTTCTCCAACAATAGCATCACAAGATTTTCTCGAACATTTACATTTGGACTGTAAGCAGCTCTTTATTTGAGCAACTCGTTTTGACCAAGACTCTATTCAAAATGACACATGACAATTTCCACAAGACAGTTTGTCCATACCCAGTGATTATCGACTTGGTAAATGGAAAACCTTACAGATATTTCTCTTTATTTGAAAACTTACACTACAAAGAGTACATGCTTTTACGGCTACAACAAGATTACTCCTCAGGAATGAATTCCCCAGCGAGTTCACTACACAAGTTTATTTCCATCAAGCGACATCTCCACAGAGAAGTCGAGGAAGTTAACCACATTAGTCTCTCTTTATTTGAGAAGACATACTTTACAATTCAACCGGCTCACACCTCTTCCAAAAATCCCCGATGAAGCTTTACAGTCTCCATTACATTACCAATTATATCTACAACGACATCTACAATCTACAAATTATATCTACAAAGTTATACAACTTACATCAACATCTACAAAATACAATGATTTTACAATCCACAAAATTTAAATCCCCTATGAAGATGCTCTCACGAGTTTTCATCATTTCAGGTAGAAACTGAGACCCGTCCATGGCCAACACACCATGAGGCGTGGGGAAGTTATTTCAAGAAACTGAGACCAGCTCATGGCAAACACACCATGACGCTCGGGGAGGTTTATTTCAAGAAACTGAGACCCGTTCATGGCACACACACCATAAGGCGTGGGGAGGTTATCTTGGTTATTAACTTTGCTTAGGCTATCATACGTTTGATAGTAGGTAATATACCGTTTCGTTTTGGATAGATACCTTTGCTTAGGCTACCGAGATAGGTAGTAGGTCATCTCCCCTTGTGAACAATTTATTCAAAGATATCTTATTTCCTGGCTAATCTCGGAAGTAGATTACCAGTAGACCTCGACAGTAGGTATTTCAATCTCATTTCTTGGCTAATCTCCGCAGTAGATTACCAGTAGACCTCGGCAGTAGGTATTTCAATTTCATTTCCTGGCTAATCTCGGCAGTAGATTACCAGTAGACCTCGGCAGTAGGTATTTCAATTTCATTTCCTGGCTAATCTCGGCAGTAGATTAGCAGTAGACCTCGGCAGTAGGTATCCTTTTATTTCCTTGCTCATCTCGGCAGTAGATTTCCAGTGGACTTCGTCAGAAGTATATCTCCAGCAAACTTCAACACAGAATCTCGGCAGCAGATTCCCTACAAATTTTAACAGTAGATACTTTGGCAAAAGTATTCTCCATTAAAGTTACAAGTCTCGACAGTAGACTTCTCCAGCTGATATCTTGAATCATTACATTTGACCTATACGGTCGGTTCTTCCAATAGATTTTCTCACAAGTTCTTCGCAGCATATTTACAGATACATTATGATTGCCAATCTTTCCTCGTGGAGTTCTGCTTTGTTGGGCCTGTTCTTCCTGTGTGTCCAGTTTTTTCCCCTGTGGCATTATGTCTCCACAGGACCCTTTTCGTCTTGCATTTCATATCATTGCATATCATATGCATTCGGTGGCTTCTTACGGCCAAAAATCCGTGCTATGTTTATATTTAAGTCTCTCCTATCTCGTCGAGACGGAGATTTCAATCTCCATATCTCCGAATAGGAGTAACTTAAATAGGGGCATCTGTTGCACCCTAATTTTTGACCGCAAGATCTCACCTCCTTGTGCATGTCTTGTGTGTTATCTTTTACTAACAAGTGTGCGCAGACACAGTATTTTCAGCTGCAGATTCTCACAGTCAAGCGTTTCGCCGCATAATCCTTATGATTCAAGGATCCTAGGGTGCCTCACTGGGTCGGATCATATTCTTATTAAGGGTCAAAGTCATCGTCATCAAGATTCCTCAAAAGATGTCTTTAAAGAAGCTTGAACATCTTTTAAAGTTTTAGGATTTCATCAGAGTATTCAAAATCAAGATTCGCAAAGTTGGACATGACAGCACTTCAAAAAAATTAAGGAGAGCCTCTATCTCAACTAAGAATTGTCACTTGAATCTAAAGAGGATTTGGTTTGGCATTAGAAAAAACATAGTTTTAATTGGTCGTATTCTTGAGAACTCATCAGTTTATTCTGAAATATGGGAGGATAAAACAAGTTGAATATATAGTTCTTAAAAGAATTCCCTTGGCAGTATCATAGTGTTGAACTTAAGACAACATATAGGACAGTTGGTACCTACATTCAATTGTAAGAGTACTCCACATGACACATTACAGTTACAAATGACGGTTAATAAAGTGTGATGCAAATTTGAAACCTTGGGGGATCCTTGCCGTTAGTTCTTACAAAGTTCATCTTTTCAAAATGGCATATCTTGACTTTGGTGAGAGATAATTCATGAGACAGATTCATTGTTTTAAAGACTCTTTTCATGTAATCTACACCCAATACCAAAACTCATTACCAAATCCAGCGCTACAACAATCATCATGATGAAATCAACTTTACATTACAAGTTTACCGTTAAAATACAAGCAGAAAGTCAAAACTCAAGCTGCCAATCCAAAGCCCAAAATATACTCATGCTACTGCGAGAAATGCAGCTCTTCCTCACATTTACAATAACATCCCTATCATTTGACTCAAAGAAACCCTGGGTCCTAATTTATAATATCACAAGACCTTAAAATATTCCGCCGGCATCGCCACGACCGAGTTTGTGAGGAATCTCATTACAACAGCACTTCAAAGTGAAAAAGAGTGCAGGCAATGTCACCATTCAGCGGAGGGCCGTTGCGGTGCCGCTACGACAGAGACTGAATTGTAGAAATACCTTCACATTAGTGCCATCTTCCGGGCATTGGTTTTTAAACTACAAACAATTGGAAAACAATGGTAAGACTTTGTGACAGTGTGAAATCTTGAAGTATAGAGTAGTATCATCACAACTTTCCCCTGAAAACCTTTAGTATATGATTCGTGCCGTCACGTCTGGTACCTGGACGAAATTACTAGAGATTAGATTTTTTTGGACGACCAAAACAACACAGATGGCAATGTAAGCCCAAGGAATTACCGCAACTGCAACAGCTTAGCAGCAGTAGCATCAACAGAACGCATTAGCCGGCGAGGTCCCTACGGACGGGGGACTTGCTCAAGCAACTCAACTCACTTACATCTGCAGAAATACCATTACAAAATCAAAGTTGTCAACACTAAGTGTAATGTTGGCGCTAATCAGAATCAAGCAATTTCAATGGTTTCATATAATGATGCATTTCTCTCAACCTGTCAAAAGAAAACCAATTTGGGAGAAGTTGATTAAAACCGCTATTGCTTACCTCAAAGACTCTAGCTATAGTCACTTGGGTGATGCGGCCTTGCATATTTTTCTTCGGAGTAGACCATTTGGATGCTCAAAACTCAGACTTCGAACCAGAAGAACAGGACCCTGCGTTGCTCTATGACCCCAACAGCTGTGAGTGATGAATCGCCCTCGGTGTTCGACATTAGCGCATACCCTGCAACATAACCAAATAGAAGGGGATTTATCAGTTCCAAACACCTACCACCTGTTCAACACAACCAATATTCGAGACCAATTAGTTCCAAATTAGTTCAACATAATATCAGTTCTTTCTCCATAATAATAATTTCAGTCCCACTATTTTCTTTTTCTATTCATCTTTCAAAAGATTGATAAAAAAACATGAGTATTGTTCTTCTATTGTGTTTCACACTACACTCAGGGTTTGAAGCTGAAGCGTTATCCTATGATTACAGTGCCAGCGCCGAATGTTTAGAACATCCTGAAAAGCCTCTATATAATGGAGGAATCATTCAACACCCAAAACTCAACGATGGACTGCAAGATTGGACAGCATTTGGTGAAGCAAAAATTGAACATCGAGAATCATTAGGCAATCAATTCGTTGTAGCACATAGCAGAAAACAACCATATGATGGTGTCTCCCAGAAGATTTATCTACGGAAGGGATTGCCTTATACTTTATCTGCTTGGATTCGACCAACATACCTTGTGGAAACAGAGATAACAGGCATTATTAGAACAACACACTAGAAAATTCTTAATTAAAGAAGAAGAGGAACAAATGAATATTGAGAAACCTAAGTTGTTCTCATCATACCAGTTAATCCACAGCTTCATTAACATTTCCTCGCGGGCCTTAGAATATCATCATCATCCATAGTACCTTCCTCAACAGCATTGGGAAGATGTGGCAATACAGTGATCCCAGCTTCAGAAACGGCATCATTGGCATCTAAGTCTCCTGAGGCAATACCCTTTGGTGTTTGGCTCATTGCAATTGCACAAGCTTCGGCTAATACAGAACACAACATATCTCCATCCACCAACTTCAGCCTTCCTTGAGTACCCCAGAATGCCAACTTTTTTTTCTTTTCAATTCGAAACAGAACTTCAAGATTTCCAATCGCCAAGTTTGTTTTCCCCACCTGCAAACCATCAGGGACATTAATTCAACGCATTCAAGTTTGGAATAAGTTTAAAGCATGTCTAAAACCAGAATAGAAGATTTTGAAACAAATTCAAGACATTTTATTCCCAAAACAGAAACATATTCCAAATGGATATGGACAACAATAAAACTACATCAGTTCAGAAGCATTAAGCGTATACCACAATAAGCTTGAGACAGAAAATTGCGTCTTTTATTGTCTTTCCAAAACCGTGTTCCCAATTCAAACCTGCAAGAGGAAAATCACATTTAATCAGAATAAAGAGGAAACACGCTAAGGCTCGACAAGAGTCTTATCACCATGATGTCGTATCCTCAAAACCTAACGGCATATCAGACAATAAATCAAGACTTCCATATATGTTCAATCTGATTTGGGAAAGAATTTAAACCAGATCATTTTCTAGGCATATAAAAGAGGATTTCGAGATGAGCAAGAGAGGGAAATTCACAAAAAATCCACAACACACACAAACGTAAACCCCAACATACGAAATTAGAAACCCACAAATCATTTCACGGAAAAAACCCTAAAATTTCACAAAGAATCCACAGAATATTGAACCCCAAATTCTACCGAATCCCTAAGTCGAAACCATAAGTTCGAAAGAGGGGAAACTTATCTCTTTTTTTCTAGTTCCTCCGTTGATCCATATCTACGCCTTCAAACCCTCGCCGGATCCGCCATCACGGTCGAAACTGCGGAAGAAACTCTTTTTCGGCTCGACCGTGAGATTTTCGTTTTGCTAATGTTTACGTTGTTTTGTTTTGTTTATTCTTGTAGAGGAGGAGTTGAAGACGGTGAATTGGGAGAAAGAGGAAAGAAAGAATTGAAGAAAGGGAGAGTGAAATCAGAACGAGGATTGGGAGACGGAGAGGACCGAGCAAAGGGGAAGAGCGATCGGCGGGTGAATTCGGAAAAAGGGAATTAGGGTTCGCATTTTATTTTATTGATGTAATCGTGTGTATACACCCTGCTATAGTTATCATGCACCCTCACATCACATGCACTTATCACCAGTTGATCACAATCTAATGACCCTCACGTTTGCACGCCCACCGTAAGCGCTACACCCGCGTCACACCTGATCTTTCCGCCCCCTTAATCACCTCATTAATCATTATTAATCTACCGTTAATCCACTTAACCCCTAATTAATAACTAATTACCTTTTTTAATTAACTTAATCATGAGCTTAATTTCTAATTTAATTAAGAAACTTTTTTTAAAGATCTCATTAATCAGTTTTATTTAAAATAAACTATTAAACTTAATTTTGTTTAATTCAACCTTTTTAAATAATCTGCCTATTTTATTAAATTAATTTCCTTCTTATCAAGTAACTCTTTAATTAATCTAATAACAATTTATTCACCATTTCTTTTTATTATTTCACCAACTTAATGTCCATTATTCACGTTCTTGATAATAAAACTTTTCTAACCAAAACCAATTTATTTAATAATCTTTTTTTTATTTAATTAATAATTTGTCTGAAAAAAACATAAAATCTGTTTTTTAATCTATTTTAACCTCCTAGTAACCCCTTAATTAATTTAACCCTTGTTAAATAAAATTATTTATAACTTTTTATATATATAATAATAAAACCCTTTTAATCTAAAATCAACTCCTAGTTTTTTTTTATAATAAACCCTTGTAATAATAAAAAAAAACCATTTCATAATAACAAAACTATTTTATTAAAAATTCACTTCATGACAATCTATAAATTATTTAACTAAATTAAGGAAAACCTTTCTTTCTTTTTATTTAAGAAATCTTCTCTTTAAAATTAGGAACCAAACCATTTCACATTTAAAACAACCTTTTAAAATAAATTATAACAAACGTTTATTATCTAAATTAATCTTTTATTAATAAATTAATTATTATTTTCCTTAAAATCAATTCACAACCAAACTTTTTATAAAATTATTATTAAAGTCAAACTTTTATCAAATAAGTCAATACTCTCCTTAAATATAACCTTTCTCAAAATTAATCAAATTCACCTAAAATTAAATCAACTTTTCTCAAATTAATCCCACTAAATCAAATTCAACGTCCCCTTTAAAATCAACTCGACTAAAATAAATCAATTTCCTCGTAAAACTTAGATCAACCAAAACTAATTCAATCAATCGTGCACGCTTACGGCTTCGCTCCGCCCTCGCACTTCACAATTCACACACTTAGCGCTTTCATGCGTATGTGCATTTTATTTTATTCATAATTCACACACTTAGCGCTTTCATGCGTATGTGCATTTTATTTTATTCACAACTCACACACTCACTTAGCGCTTTCATGTGTTCGTGTATGTTTTATCTTTATCCGCAATTTACATTATCGCAATTTATATTTTCGCATCGCATCCGTCCAAAGGAAAAACCTACACATGATTCAACAATTGTGTGTAGTGCACACCATTTGCATCATTCTCCCCAGGATCCTTGATTCCACTCAAGTTGATCAATTAAGATAGACCCTACCCCATAGGAAGGACCTTTCCTCTATCTTTATAACATAGAAACAAACAATCAACTCAATACAACAATATTCAAACAATAGAGAAATAGATGTTAATCATCTTAAGCAAGATAGAATCTCCACTCCACATCAATACAATCAAAACCGTAGGAACTTTGCCTTAAGAGAGATAGAGGCGTACATCGTCGATTTATATTCGAGTACTTGAGCCCTTCTCTTAAGACGATGCAAAGACTATTTTCCTACAATTTATGGCAGTTAAATCTCCCTTAAAATGACAACTCGTCTTTTCTCCTAAAATCAATCAACCAACTACCCTAAACCCGTAGGAACTTTGACTACAGTCAAAGAACTCCTCAAACCCTTTAAGGGAACTACAGATACTCTGATTCCACTCCCATAAGGATATGTAGGCATAAGATGCGATATCTTATCGAGTATACTTAGAAATAAACCACTAGGGTCTTTTAAACCATTAAGCAGATAAACACTTAGCAATAAACAAACATAAAACAAGAGGTTCCTGTAGAGTACTACAGAAACTTAGGATGCTAGCACCTTCCCTAAGTTTAACCAACCCCCGAACCTAAAACTCTCTAAACCTTGCACTTGCATTGCATTATGGGAATTTCGATCTTTATCCCTTCCTTTGGAAAAATCAAAGTTCGGCTGCAAATTGAATTAAAGATTCAAACTAATCAATAGTTTGGTATCCAAATTTCACCGTGACACTTAGCATAAAGCTTTTCTTGTTATTCTACTATGTTGCTAACTTCATTCATCAGCATCAATGCTTTGTAACAAGCTGACTTACTTTGTAATGAGCTCTAACTGCGTTACTCACTTAACAACAGCAACATTTGAAATAATCAAATGATCTTCTTTTATAGTGCAACTTTGTGAGGGTAGAAATATCATCTCTAATTCCAACGGTTATCCCAACGAATAGAATAAGCTCACGTGTTGGAACAATGACCTTTGCTAGTAACTTTAATATCTAAACATTGGAAACCACACTTATGAATAGTACCAACGTCTTTGTCATAGTGAAATGTTTGCATGCGTTGTACTGTAGTCTTCTTGACTTGGTTCTTCTGATGATTCATCTGATGAGTAGTTCAACAACTACTTTGGTATGAAAGCTTCAGCATTAGAGTTGTTTAAGCACATATCAGATTTAACAGCAGCAGCTTATCTGATGAGTAATACGCCTCTGTCTGGGTGAATCTTCTTCCGACACAATCTTCAACTTCAGAATCCAGTCTCCAGCATTCAAAGATCTAAGTTTCCTCTGAAACAGTCTTGAGAATCTTCGTGACTGATTCTTCAGAAATCATGTCTTCAGAATCTTCAGAGTCTTGATCTTCCGAACACGTCTTCAGAGTCTTTCTGCACTTGGTCTTCATAGCCTTCAGCCTTCAGAACTTCAAGTCATCAGAGTCTTCAGAGTAGTTCTTCAGAGGACTATATCTCCAGAGTCTTGTTCTTCAGAACCCTTAAGTCTTCAAAGTCTTTCTGCACTTGGTCTTCAGAGCCTTCAGCCTTTAGAACTTCAAGTCATCAGAGTCTTCAACACTTAGTTCTTCAGAGGACTCACTCTTTAGAGACTCTTGTTAGCTTCTAGATCAGATGCATTTCTCAGAACAGAATTTACAGAAGCATTGCAACTGCAATATCCAGCATCCTTGGAACTTTTTTGATCGTGACCAGATACAAATGCATACTTGCTTCTTCAATATGATTTGTTTCCTTTCAGATCAGATGCACTACTCAAAGCAGAATCCACGTGAGCATTGCAACTGCAATATCCAGCATCCTTGGAACTTTCTGATCGTGAACAGATACATAGGCAAACTTGCTTCTTTAATAAGCGCTTTATGTCACATCAGACATAGTAACTCTCATATTGTATTAGCTGTACACGTTGATATTGTTTGTTTGATCTTATATATTTAATTATCATGATCTGCACATAACAAACATTAGAACATAAAATTGTTCTTTCACAAATACTTAATTGTTATCATCAAAACATAGAGATAATCTTGTAGAGACAAATCTTGCTCTTACACTTACAAGGCATTTAGT